GCCCGGAGTTTTAATAAGGATGTGTTAAACTTGAAGTACCCAGGACCCCGGTCAATCTGCGAGTGGAAGGTGATGCCTATTGCGACGATGCGGTGATCAAAGGATTTACAAGGAGAGATAGGGAGAATCTCGGCTGCAGTCAACAGGCCTTGAAGGGCTTCTGACAGGAGGACGAGGTCTATTCTCGAGTTTGATACACCTGCAGCTAACCTTGAGCGGACACATGTATAGGCCGGGTTGGTCGGGTGTAACAATCTGAATGTGTCCATAAGGCCCATGTCCGTCATCACACGTGCAAGCGTGGCACTATCCAGTCCTCTCAGATTAAGCCCGTCCCCAACTGTGGTTGGGAGGGGGATCTCCTGTCCATGTCTGGGTCAAGGGCACAGTTAAAATCTCCACACATTATAATAGGTGCGTCATTGGGGAGGGATTGTTGAAGTGAGAGAAAAAATCGGGTTCGAAGCGCTAATCATTTGGTGCGTACATGCAGACCACGTATACCGTTTCAGACCCAATTGCAGCTTTCAGCCAGATCCATCTTCCTTCGACTTAAAAATTCAGCCTGAATTGGAGACAGTCTCGACGAAGGGGGGAGCCATATGGCCACCTCTGTGGAAGCAGAGGATCTGGCCGGGGCTACAAAGGCCTTATATGGCCAGACTTGAGAAGCCCTTTCTTGGTGGGGGGGTGAGTCGGTCAGATGAGTTTCTTGCATTTTCTGCTGTGGAAGTGCCCCTATGCCACTCGAATTGTGAAAAAAGGAAAAAGAGCAATTGTATCCGTGCCATTTATAAATGCACTTCTGATTTTCATTCGAATTAAAATGAACATTTTCAGATGTCACACCGTCGGGTTGCCTCAACTAAAAGTTGCAGGTAAAACAGTCGGCTACGCACCGTTTCTGCTTTTTGCGTATTCTCGGAAGCCGCAACGAAGAGCTATGGCTGGCTGTTCGTCCCCGTCCTCCTCATCCTGTCAAATGCCTGTATCCCGAGCCCGCCCATACCCCATTCTTTGCTGCCACGGCGACAGGGTTTCCACAGCCAAGTGCTCCCGTCTCTCTCTCTCTCCCAAGCGTCTCTCTATTTTAAGCATTCCTCGGATTTCCTCCCATCCACCTGCTGTCCTTCCTCGGTTCGTCGGCCGACCTGCTGTCCTTCCTCGGTCCGTTGGCCGACAAGTGCAGTCCGCCCGCCGGAGCTATGGATGCCTCATGCTTTAACTGTGTATAGCGAACATGGCAACACACACGGGGAGAGAGAGAGAGAAGAGAGAGAGAGAGAGAGAGAGAGAGAGAGAGAGAGAGAGAGAGAGAGAGTTGTCAATGAA